GAGAGAGAGAGAGAGAGAGGGAGAGAGAGAGAGAGAGAGAGAGAGAGAGAGAGAGAGAGAGAGAGAGAGAGAGAGAGTACACCCTTGTCGAGCATTCGAACACCTGAAATATTGCACACACTCCGTGACCGCACAATGCAGAATTAATCATGATATGCATAGCCTGTGCATCGAACAGTTGCATTCAACGCTGTCCACTACCAATATCTGTATCACTGTTGTCCACCATGGTGTCTGGTGCACAGTCAAGCCATGTGTGAGCACGAAGTATTTCCTTTCCTGTTGATAGTGTCGGGTGCAATGTAGCACCAGAACCGCTCGCTACAGCACCGTGCAGGAGACAACTAAGGTCCAGGCCCCACGTAAGTGATGTTGCGAGGACAACCTCTCTGTTGACCAAGACAAACCATGACTTCCCCATTCGTGACTATCTTTTTCCGTTCGAGCATGATCTCATAATGGTCGTCAGTGCTGCATACTGGAGTGCGCCCTCAGGTGTTGCTTCCTTCAGCACGACACGCAACAGTAAATGGGGATTAGAGAATACACGTGCCAACCTTAGAATCGCATGTGCCCACCCTTTTGACGCTTGTCCTCCCCCTGCTTCCATATCCCAGTAGGCATCATATTCCTCACCCTCCTCGTCGCTGCTCACATTGTTGCCACTCACTTCCACCTCATTGTCAGGCGCCCTCGCATCTTTTTCATTGTTGATCACTCTTGTTTCTTCGATCTCATGTTCGAAATCGATCGGTAAAGAAGAGTCTTCGAACCCTCATTTCCGTTGTTGTTCTGTCATTGTCCACTCATTGAACACATCTTCTTCTTTTACCTCCTTCGTCGACATTGTGTTTATTGGAGAACGCACGATGGAGGTTGTTCTCACAATTTCTTCGTCTGCTGAAGCATGTCCATCTGCTGCATGAAGTGCAACATCTGCTTCCCTGGCCACCAACTTCCATCCTTCTTTCCTTAACCTATTTCTATCCACCTCAGAAGTCGCAATGCTGAGGTGATGCAAAACTGTCATGAACATTCCATCCCACAATGGAGTACCACATACAACATCATCGTCCACACTCCGCACCCTGTACGTAATGAGGTCCTTGCCCGCCAGTGCTTGCTCTGTCACATCATGCAATGCCTCATGTATGACATTCCGATCGTCAGGTTTCTTTTTCATGAAATCCACCAGTTGGTCGAGTAAAACATACTCCACCCCGTTTGCAATAATTACTGGAAGTTCTTGGAAGTCTTGTGGGGGAGCTTGCGGTATGTCCTTCAAACGCGAGAGTACTAAAATTTCTGCTGCACCGCTCTTCATCTCGTCCTTAGAACCTTCAACAAGCATTCCCCATTTCTTCGTCTGTGTCATCAGCGTCTGCTTGAAATCGGATGGCATGTATGTTCCACCCTTCTGCTGCTTTGTCATATCCACGTCGCCTTCATCGGACATCCCTTCTATGCACATCCAACCAACCACTTTTCTCAAACTGTATTCACTGCTATCAGCAGTGTTGTCTACACGCAAATCATGCGCCTCAGTGAACGTGTCAATAGCATCCGTGCTCTGAGCGACTCCTCTCCGTTCGCAGCGATGCTTGCACGAATGTTCACTCTGACATCGAAGTAACTCGGCACTCTCTCTGTGAGTAGTCGGAGTTCCCCGTCCTCATCGTAGTGGATGCCCTCCTCCGCGTATTGCATCACCTCTTTAAGAATTGTCCTCGCCTGCGCCGCTGACATCGACATGATGGTTGTGCTTTTGTGTATGTGTCTGTGAGTAGAACGGCAAAACGATGATTTCAAGCTCCGTGAGGGTTTCTTTAATATTGTATGTGTGTTCCTCTGCTCAAAGTATGCGGTCGTTCAACGCTGCCAGTCAGTACACGGACATCATACGAGGGTTGGCTAGTGGGTGCCATTTTTTATTTGAATCATTGACATCGAATGAATCCGGCACGCAGTAGTCAACTCCTCCGACACCCCCATTTATCACCTTCATGTGAAACATTGTACATATCACAGGGCCAGGAACCATTCATTCATAAAGCTTTGGAGGGCAGAGTACAACTTACCTAAGACGGAATAGTCCTCCGCCAA